AGAAGAGGAACCACACAGAGATCAAAGGTCTCTCATTAGCATCAGAAATGGCCCGAGGGCATGGAGCTTGCTTCAGATTCTCTCTCTTCACCCTTTCCCACTCACACTTTTTCTCTCTCGCTCAAAATAAACATTAAAAATATATATATAAAGACGGAGCACCTGGGTGGCTCGCTCAGGTAAGTGTCTGACTTCAGCTCAGGTCTTGATCTAGCGGTTCATGGGTTTGAGCTCCGCACCGGCCTGTCAGCACAAAGCCTGCTTCAGATCCTCTGTCCTTTCTCTCTCTGCCCCCCACCGCTTGTGCCCACACTCGCTCTCTTGAAAATAAATAAACATTAAAAAAAAAATGAAGACAAATCTAAAAGGTGTAGGCTTATCCCCCCAGATTCTGAGTAAGAACTATGAAAGGATGGCCCTCTGCAGGGAAAAATGGGGGTAGGGCCATGATTCACCCAAACAAATGACACTGGGCACAGAAAATAATAAAAGAAGCCAATAAGTATGATATACAATTGACTGGAAAGAAAACAGAACTTATTCCTCCATGTTTAAGAAAAAGAGGAAACGAAAACTTTATTAAGCTCAATGACATGATTGCAGTTGGAGGTGACAGAAAAAAAAAGCATTCGAGGTCATCATCATGGGTAGGATGTTTAAATAAATATTAAACAACTATAAACATGGTTAGGAAAATATATAGTTATATAATATCTTAAAAATTGAAAGGCGCTGGGGCACCTGGATGGCTCAGTCAGTTAAGCGTTTGACTTTGACTCAGGTCAAGTTTGAGTCCCGCATCAGAGCCTGCGTCAGATCCTCTGTCTCCCTCTCTCTCTGTCCCTCCCCTGCTTGCGCTCTGTCTCTCCTCAAAAATAAAAAATAAAAAAATTAAAAAAAAGTTTCATTTCAAACTTCAAAAATTTCATTTCAAAAGAAATGAAACAACAAACAACAATAGCGCAAAGAAACGCATTATGCTGCCTCCAAATCAGCAGAGGGAGAGTGGAAGACTGAAAGACTTGAGATACACAGTTACAATTTCAGTTTTCAAAAAAATGCAAAGTTAGATTTTTTTTTTTAAGGTTTTTTTTTTTTTTTTTAATTTCTAGAGAGAGAGAGTGAGCAGGGGAGGGTCAGAGAGAGAGAGGGAGTCACAGACTGAAACAGGCTCCAGGCTCTGAGCTGGCAGTCAGCACAGAGCCCGACGCGGGGCTCGAACCCACGAACCGTGAGATCATGACCTAAGCGAAAGTCGGACGCTTAACCGACTAAGCCACCCAGGCGCCCCGCAAAGTTAGATTTTAATAAGTCAGACTGCCAAGCCTAACAACAATCTGTCCAATTAAAGCAATGATTGTCAAATATATACTCTGTAAGCACTTAAAAAAATGGAAGTGGTGTGACCACGTGGAATCAGCAGGAATTTACATTTACCAATGTAACTTTCTCCTTTGCCCCCCTTTTTGTGTGGTTCAATTTTTTACATGTCTGTTAACTGAAAAGAAACTTAGAAGATACAGAAAAAAAAATCCTATCTACTACAGTTAACATGTGTGTGTAAGTATGTATGTTGTGGCTCAGGCTGCTAGGTAAGGAGATAAAAGAAGTGACCTATCTGAGATGCAGTGAAAAGAACAGTGGACTCAGGAGACAGGAGATGGCACAATGGGTGGCCCAGGTGTCCAGATTTTGATGTCCAATAACCTAAACTTACACCCTGGATCTGCTACTTACTAGCTTTCAAAAGTTACCTTGGCCAAGTGACTCCAATTTTACTTCCTACTATCAAATTCCTTGTGAGGGAGGTAGAGAGGCCTGTTTTCATCTGGTCCACTATCCCTCTCAGCTTTAAAATCCTATGAATCTTTAAAAAAACTACATGAATTGAAACAAAATCATAAAGCATGTGCCTTTTAAGTCTCCAGATGAGGCAAAACTGGAAAAACAACAAAGAGTGAAAAAAGAATCCACACTGTCAACAGGCTGAAATCACTATCACGAAACAGGAAGAAGCAAAGACCTGAATTCGGATTAGCAAAAGATCTGTACAGATGCCTGGCCGGCTCAGTCATTAGAGCACGTGACTAGATCTTAGGGTCTGAGTTCAAGTCTCGCGTTCTGTGTAGAGATTACATAAGGAAAAAGAAAGATCTGCACAAAGACAGAATGGAGAGGACTTGGCTTGATAATGAGTCATTTGAGAAAGGGCCAGATATTTTAACATCTGCTCCCAGAGCCAATGATATGATGGGTATTAGACTAAATGAATGAACTCTCAGGTTACAGTAGCGGAAGCTGTGTTTATGGTCAGAGAGGAACAAATCACACTAGTGAGTACAGGTCAGATTACATGTAGAATATTCTATTCCATTGTGGAAGATTCTGACAAATTGGAATGCATCTAATGAAGGGAGTCCAGAACTAGAAAGCATCCAGAAACTGTATGACATCAGGACACCGGGGGAGTTTATCCTGGAGCAAGAAGACCCAGAAAAACTGACAGCTACCTGCTAGAGTTTGAATGCTCTTGACGGCTGACCTAGGTCTAGTGGTAGCGGTGCTAATAAGAAGCACTTGTGGGTGCTATCTTCAAACAGAAGTTGGAAGGCTATTGGTGAAGGAAATAAGAGAAAACTCTTCATATTGGGAGGGAAGTTAAAACCAGGTAAGCCCTATCCCAGAGTCCCTTTCCAGGTCTAAGGCATCAATAATTCTATTTTTTTTTCTTATTTCTGAGAGAGAGAGAGAGACAGAGTGCACAGGGGAGGGTCAGAGAGACAGGGAGACCCAGAATCTGAAACAGACTCCAGGCTCTGAGCTGTCAGCACAGAGCCCGACGCGGGGCTTGAACCCACGAACTGTGAGATTGTAACCTGAGCTGAAGTTGGATGCTTAAATGACTGAGCCACCCAGGCGCCGCAAACATCAATAATTCTAAACGACTGTCTCCAGTATAAGGAAAAAAGACTCTTTAAGCTGCTCAGGTTACTAAATTGCTATAAGGTCACACTTATCAGATGGTATATATCCGATGTGCCCAGCGCTGTACTAACAAGCACATTTCACAGGGGGAAACAGAGCAGAACAGGGCTTGCAGGAATTTAACTTCTGAGAAATGATAGGATACTGTTGTTATTCCCAAATGTGTCTGTTATTCATAGAAAAGGAGTTGGGGGAGAGAGTACAGTGCTTATGTAGGGAGGGGCAAGAAAAAAACAGAAAAATCTTTGTGCTCTAGGCACAGCAACTAATATAATATTTGAACTAGAAACAGAAGTCTAACACTTGGGACCAAATTATCATCAGATCCTTTAGGAAAGAAGCCTCAGTAAGTCTTCAGATCAATCGTATATTTGTACATTACAAGGGAGCCATTTAAAATGGATTGTATGAGAAAGAATGAAATCTGGCCATGTGTAGCAACATGGATGGACCTTGAGGGTGTTATGCTGAGCGAAATAAGTCAGGCAGAGAAGGACAGATACCATATGTTTGCATGTATAGGTGATTAGGAGGAACTTAATGGAGGACCATGGGGGAGGTGAAGGGGAAAAATAGTGGGGGAGAGGGAGAGAGGCAAACCATGAGAGACTCTTAAATGCTGAGAACAAATTGAGGGCTGATGGGGGTGGGGGAGAGGGGAAGGGGGGTGATGGGCATGGAGGAGGGCACCTGTTGGGATGAGCACTGGGTGTTGCATGGAAACCAACTTGACAATAAACAATTTAAGGAAAAAAAATAAATAAACTGGATTGTAAAGGAACGTTTTGTGAAATATATCTAACAGGAGAGGGTGGGCAAAATGGGTGAAGGGGCAAAGGAGACACAGGCTTCCAGTTATGGAATGGATAAATCTCAGGAATAACAGGCACAGCATAAGAAATACAGTTAATGAAACTGTGTGTGATAGTGATGTATAGGGTAGATAGGAGCTACTCCTTGTGGTGAACATAGTATAATATATAAGCTTGTTAACTCACTAAGCTGTACACCTGAAAGTAATGTAACATTGTGGGTCAACTATACTCAAAAAGAAAAAAAAAAATGTGGGGCGCCTGGCTGGCTCAGTCTGCAGAACATGTGACTTGACTTTGGGGGTGTGAGTTCGAGCCCCACATTGGGTGCAGAGAGTACTTAAAAAATAAAATCTTTAGGGGCCCCCGAGTGGCTCAGTCGGTTGAGCATCCAACTTCAGCTCAGGTCATGGTCTCACAGTTGGTGAGTTCGAGCCCTGTGTCAGGCTCGCTGTGGTTAGCCTGTCAGCACAGAGCCCACTTCGGATCCTTTGTTCCCCTTTCTCTGCCTCTCCCCCACTTGCACTCTCCAGAAAATAAATATTTAAAAATAAATAAATCTTTTAATAAAAAGGAATGTATCTGATTTTATAACAAGAGTACTGCTTCTTTGACCTTATCTATGAGTTACTAATGTTCCTAATATAAACTCACCATGCCCTACACACTTAGACCGATACAGTCCTACTAGAATTTACAAATGTGACCGAAACAAATGCTTCCACTGAAAAATGGCACATATCTCCTCACTTTCTTTCCCACATCAAAATGTGAGGCAACATTTATTTTTATGGGGAGACCCACGAAGGGAATTCATCTGCGTCTGGCCCCAGAGATGCTCTTTGGATCAGTGGGACACTGTAGTTACAAAAACCACGGCATTTTCCAGTGGACAGAAATCACGGGGAGCAAGTGAACACCCGCGCTAAACGCCCCAGACAGAGGTTCTTCCGCTGTGCCAATCGGCTACCAGGCGCCTCCAGGGACTGGCGAGAGACTCTGGAGCCCTGATCTCCTGGGTCTCCTTGGAGCCGCGTCCCCAGCTCACTCCCGGGTTCCTTCCACCCAACCAAATGCCCAGAAAGAAAGTGAGTTTTTCAGTCTTATCGATGAAGATTTACCAGAAAAGGTGTTAGAAAGCACTGTGACTTTCACTGGCTTTGTCGTTCGCCGTGTTACGCACACTGATGGGGACGTACTTACTTCCAACGCATAATACACCGGTTTGTCTCGGCCCAGCTTGTAAGCCACTGTGGTCAGAAGGCCGTGCTCAGAAAACACACACTGCAGGACACAGAAAAAGACTTCAGTGGCCAGGCAGTTAAAGGGTGGCAGAAGAATATTTTTAAAAGCTAAGATGAACCAGGTACGAAATAATTCAATAAATAATGTAACAAATACAAAAATAAATCTTAACAGTTAAAATTACCAGTATTGTTCATAGCAGCACTCTCAACAATAGCCAAAACATGGAAAGAGCCTAAGTGTCCATCCACGGATGAATGGATCAAGACGATGTGGTTCATCTATGCAATGGAATACTCCATGGCAGTGAGAAAGAGAAATCTGGCCATGTGGAGCAACATGGATGGACCTTGAGGGTGTTATGCTGAGAGAAATAAGTCGGGCAGAGAAGGACAGGTATCATATGTTTGCACGGATAGGAGGATTAGGAGGAACTTAAAGGAGGACTGTGGGGGAGAAGAAGGGGGGAAATAGTGGGGAAGGGGGAGAGAGGCAAACCATGAGAGACTCTTGAATGCGGAGAACAAACTGAGGACTGATGGGTGGGAGGGGAGGGGGGAGATGGGCATGGAGGAGGGCACCTGTGGGGATGAGCACTGGGTGTTATATGGAAACCAACATGACAATAAACTATTTGTAAAAAAAAAAAAAAATTACCAGTATTAAGGGCAGGACACTTGAAACAGTATAGAAAGTCTACCCCTTGCTCCAGATTAGATTTGCATTAAGAATCTGACAAGGTCCGAGTGTAGCTATACCACGAGCAATTAAAGACACACATATAAAATTCAAAGAACCTGAAATGATCCTTACTAGAGCCACTTAAATTTAGTGATTGTCATCATTTTTATTGAGCTCTAAATTAAACCCTCATAAAGATTAAATAAAATCTGCAGAATCCTAAGCAACTTAATAGCAAATTATGCTCAAGCACTATTTACATGAAGTTAAAGAAGACTGTCAGCAATCTTTTAATTGGAAAAAACCAACCTTACGGCCTGTATTACACAGTAAGAAGCAGCCTGTCCCATACCTACAGTCAGGGGAAGAAGGAACAGTGTGACAATTTTATTAAAAATAAATCATGAAACAAAAATACAAATCATTTAAAACAACATTTAGCTCAGCACGATAAAAGTCATTCAAGTTTTAGAAAAGTTCCAAAAGTTAACAAGCATTACATACTCCTTCTGGAATAATGTTTTAAAGATAAGAAGAAAATGTACTTAGCGAGACCCTAATGGAAAAATGCAAGCATGGTATTTAGTACTTAAGTCTTGGCCCAGGACTGTGTTTATAAAATATCACCCAGTTCCAACAAATTCTATGTGCGGTCACAGTTACATCGCTACTAACCCACGCAGAAGGCAGCGCTTCCCTAAGCTGGCTGCTTAGCTCCGCCACTGTACAGTCAGGACGTGAGAAACAGCGCTATCTCCTGGCAGGGAGGGGGGGCCAGGTCCAGGGTGCGGGGAAGCTTAGCCGGACCTCGGCACACGTGTCCTCTGCAGGACAGGGCATTCTAAACAGGCGGGAGAGATGGAGCCAGAATGGAACGCCGCTGACGTGGAGAAAAGGAATTTACTTTATGGCAGCCTTATTAGTATAAGCTTTGGACTCTGTGACAGGTGTGGCACTGGACCCGAGTGAGTGGCTATGACTCGCGCCAGGGAGAGGAATAATCCAAACTGATACCGGTAGGGGTCACAGGGAAACAGGTGGCTGTGACTGTCAACCCCGGCTCTCTACCGACAGTCCCGCCCAAGCCTGGGGTTCTCTCCCCAGGGGCAGCAGGGCCTGGCTGCTCTTGGGACATTCCAGCAGGTGGGAGAAGGGGGAGTATGGAGGTCAGGGGCGGGCAGAGGGATCCCAGCAGAAGCTACTACCAGTCAGCACTAAGTCAGCAGACCTTAACAGCTGCGTCTGTTGTGTGGAGCAAATAGAAACCGAGGGCAATTTTTTCCAAAAAACATTTTTCCAGGCATCACTGTCTCGAACAGGAATTAACCCAAGATCTTCTATCTCTTTTCACTCAAATATATCCTCTGCCTGTACATTCACAGCGAACACATTCAGGGAGCACGTGATTAATGAATATCTACATTTTGTAAAAAACGATTTTATTGGGGCACCTGGGATGGCTCAGTCAGTTCAGCATCTGACTCTTGATTTCAGCTCAGGTCAGGATCTATAGAGCCCTGCGCTGGGATTCACACCGATCGTGGAGCCTGGTTAAGATTTTCTCTGTCCCTCTGCCCCTCTCCCCCACTCCTGCATTCTCTCTAAAATAAAAAAATTTTTAGGGGCGCCTGGGCGGCTCAGTCAGTTAAGCGTCCGACTTCAGCTCAGGTCACGATCTCACGGTTCATGGGTTTAAGCCCCACAATGGGCTCTGTGCTGACAGCTCAGAGCCTGGAGTCTGCTTCAGATTCTGTGTTTCTGCTCTCTCTGCCCCTCCCTCACTCACAGTCTCCCTCTCTCTCTCCCTAAAATAAACAAACATTAAAATACTTTTTTACATAAAATTTTTAAAAAATTTTATTTTTAAGTAATCTCTACATTCAACATGGAGCTCGAACTCACAGCCCCAAGATCAAGAGTCACGCACTCTACCAAGTGAGGCGTCCCAAAAGATATCTACATTTTTAAAGATGCCAGTCAACTAACACTAGGTACAGGCAATAATAATTTGCTTCCACAATGCTGAAAAAGCTATATATTTTAACTTAATCTCCTTTAACAAATATTCTTAAAAATGTAAGTTAATGACTGGTTTCATGCTTTTTAAAGGAGAAATCTGTACCAATTTGGCCCCCATACAAACACTCAGTATACCAGACAGTAGTGTACAAATCTTGAAGTACCAAAATGCCGCAAAGGTTCAAGGCGCTTAATAAAACTGAATTTTAAGTTAGTATACTTAGTAAGTAATTAAGGAACATCATCAGTGTATGAAGAGACTCTTGCTACATAGAGGCCACTGCTTCCAAAGCAGTACACAGGCAATTATTTTTCTCTTAAATTTTATTTTTTCTTCCCAGTCATTAAACATATATGGAGCTTTCAGCATTTATATGGTAGACCTATCCTTTCTCAAGATGGTACTGTGTTTGAACATCCTAGAAAGAGGTCTGACTTTTCTGACCTCTGTGATGGTAAAGGCTGCCTGCTGTCCCTCACAGAGGAGGGTGCCCTCTCAAAGATGGTGCCCAGGAGGAGCGGAGTGAAAGGCCTCCTTCAGACTACTTAATGCCTCTGGGGAGAAAGGGCATCTGTCTTAGGTTTCTGTCCTGAAAAGCAAAGTTGAATGTTCAAATAATCCCTGTTCATTCATGAAAGAATAGAAAATATGGAAAAGCTGAAAGAAAAATTACAATCACCCATAATCTGTTCCTCCACATCAAAACAGAGATGGGCTTTCCACTGAGGTCTGAGACGGCTGTTATTTGCTCCCTGCTGAGGTCTGAAAAGACTGACTCGGTTCTTGATCCCACTATCTCCAACTTTCAGGACTTCGTTCTGCCCATCACTTATCTCTCATTCATTTTACGAGTCCCATCTGCTCTCTACTCAGGCTCCAAAGAAACATTCTCTGGCCTTGCTCTAGCTTCAAAACACAAACAAACAAAATGCCCCAAACTTGCCACGATCTTGTTAATTAACAAACAGCCTACTTCGCTCACCATTTCTGGATGGTCATTTTTGCAAAGTACATTCTGTCCGGCTGTCCCTATTTTCTACCTCCCCACATCTCTTTTGGCACTGTGCAACCTGGCTTTCATCGTGAGCGTTCTACTGAAGCTTCGTGCTTAAAAGTCACCACTGAAGACCCACTTTCTACGTACAAATGTCACTTCTCATCCTCAGTCTCCGTGACCTTTTCGTAGCATTTTGTACGGCTGACCAAGCCTCCCTCTTAACGTCTCTACCCCGGATTTCCTTATTAATGAATGATTGCGCTCCATTTCTATGAATGTCCCATACTGTGTCTCTTACTTGTCCTCAGGACCTCCTCTACCTGTATGCTTTTTCGTGGGACACCTAGTTCTACTGCTTCAAAAACTGCCTCTGAATAAGGGAAATTTAAAATCTCTATTACTGAACTCATTGCATATTTACAAGTGTGTGCAATGTACAGCCCACCAGTACCACAGCCATGTCCCAAACTGAAAGTATGCTATTCAGACCTGCTCCTTACTTTGGCTCAGCCTACCCACTGGGCCCAAGTGACTAGACCCCATGCCTATTTCCTGTCTCTTGTCCTTGCACAGTGCCAAAGATATTCGCCTGCAGCCTCCCTCTCTGTCGCCATCCTTTTTTGCCCTTACTTTCTTTATCAGGACGCCTTTATGGTCTCTTCACCTTTAGTGTCTCCTCACTTCGGTCAAGAACTTTGATGGTATTAGTGAATGGCTCTAGTCACTCTGAAATCCAGCTCATAAACCTTCAGAAGTATCCCACTGCCTCATCAGGGAAAAACTCCTCAGTCTCAAAGTTAGAGTGTCACGACATTTCCCACCACTGCCCCACCTGAATGTTCACTACCTCCTCTAAACCAAGGCTTCCATTTCGCTCTTTGCCTCTTTCTTCAGTGTTCTGTGCACTTGCCAATATAGCTCATTCTTCAAAACACCTCAGTATTAACATAATCTTTTGTGATTTGTCTTCCCTTCCTTTGAAACCCAACAGCAGGCTTTCGAAGTTTCTTGCGGTACAGGAGCTCTGACCTGTAATACGATGAACTATGTATCTGTGTTCTTTCCCCTCGGGAAGAGAACTACGAGCGCAGAGATCGGACAATACGCTCTTTCCCGCCTCCAGCCTGCAGTGGCTGTAGAGGAACTCGGTCAGCCCTCCTGCACTTCAATTCATCAGTTCACGACTTGGCTGATGAAGGCTGATGTGGGAAGGGAGTAGAGAGGAGGAAAAGCAGACAGTTTTCTCGGGTGCCTCCCACGTGCTCTACACCGGGTTAGGTACCTGATAGAGTGCATCAGATTTACGAGCATTACCGTGCCTGGCAGGGGGGGAAGGTGGGGGTGAAAGAGCCTAGTTTTCTATCATTGCTCTGGGTTCTGGATACAGCAGCCTGGAACCGAGAATGCACAGTGTTATTTCCAGGCCCACGCTCACCCAAGCTCTCTTGATCATACCCTCAGGACACCAGGACCCGCAAAGATTTTTCGTATCTCCTCTCCCCCCCCCCCCCCCCCCGAGAAAAACTCTCACACAAATAATGTCACACTCTCACATGGGGACTGCTGACCCCGCTAGGCGACCAAATATTTAATTTAAAATGTTAGAGATTCCATTATTCACAGAAGAAGAACATAACCACTGAGATAAACATTGTTGAGACAATCAGGAAATTCTCTAGAAAAGAAGAATTCACTGTACAGAGTCTCCTGCTGGGTCTACAGCAATCGTTTCTACGTGCGGTGCAGTAACACGCAGAGAGGCTAAGAGCCCCCGCTAAGTCGAATCCGATCAATCTGGGGGCAGAGGCAGTTTCTTTCACGTACTAGCTTAACCACTCCTGAGCATCTATTTTCTCATCTGAAACTGTGAGAAACCTTATACAGACTCCCCACGAATGAGTGGTAAGGAGACAAAGTTAGGAAAAAAATGCACCAAATCTCGACTTCCATCATCGCTTCCGCTTTCTGTTGAAGGAGAAACTCCCAAGTAATGAAGTGGGGTGAAAACACAATGCCAGGAAAACAGCACTGAAAATCCCACAAAAATCTAACTTTATACTTATAGTGAGAAAGTCTAAGATAGGAACGGTATGTTGAAAAATACCGTTTATTTAAAAAAAAATTTTAAAGTACTCTCTACACCCAATGCGGGGCTCGAACTCATGACCCAGAGATCAAGAGTCACATACTCCACCGAGTGAGACAGCCAGGTGCCCCTAAAAAATATAGTTTAAATCATGATGCAGTCTCCCCCTCTGCTCTGTCCTCCTCTACTCCCCACCATGAATACTTTAAACTAAAACTTAGTTTCTGGATGGAAAACGTATTCAACTTTATAAATTAAGGTCTTTACAAGCCTTACCAGTGTGCTTACATATGGTATAATGTATTTTATATGAAGGAGATAAAGACGACCAAATGGCAGAAGCTTTTTCTTAAATTACTTTTTTTACATTTATTTATTTTTGAGAGACAGAGTGCGAGAGGAGGAGGTGCAGAGAGAAGAGACACAGAATCTGAAGGAGGTTCCAGGCTCCGAGCAAGCGTTCAGCACAGAACCGGATGCGATGCTGGAACCCATGAACCATGAGATCATGATCTGAGCCAAAGCCAGATACTCAACCGACTGAGCCACCCAGGCACCCGCCAAATGGCAAAATCTTAAGGGAACTCTTAAGCTATTGATTTTCAGCCTTGATGAACTTCAACAGATTTTCCTCATTCAAAGTGTCAAAGAGAGAAACAAACAAACAAAACACCATTGGTTTTTTAATTTGTTTCTTAAACTCACGTATTTTTGGCTTGTCCATCCTGGAAGCACATTTGTCCCACCAATGCAGCAGACTGGTCCCCCAAACACTGCAAGTATAAATGACAATAAAGAACAATAAGACAATATTATTAATTTTCTTTTTAGAACAGCCTAGGATTTATTTTTCCTTTTTTATTTATCAAGGAATTAATTGTCTTGATTTTTCATTGCTTCTATTTGGTCATTGTTCCATTCCTTTTTGTTAATTTTTTTTAAATGTTTTTTATTTATTTCTAGGAGAGAGAGAGAGAGAGAGACAGCGTGAGCAGGGGAGGGTCAGAGACAGAGGGAGATACAGACTCTGAAGCAGGCTCCAGGCTCTGAGCTGGCGGTCAGCACAGAGCCCGACGCGGGGCTCGAACCCACGAACCGCGAGATCATGACCTAAGCAAAAGTCGGACGCTTAACCGACTAAGCCACCCAGGTGCCCCTCCTTTTTGTTAATTTTTAAAAGTGTTTATTTTATTTTATTTTTTTTTGAGACAGAGACAGAGTGAGAGCGGCAGAGGGGCAGAAAGAGAGGGAGACACAGAATCTGAAGCAGGCTCCAGGCTCCATGCTGTCAGCACAGAGCCCAAAGCGGGGCTTGAACCCACGAACTGTGAGATCATGATGACCTCAGCTGAAGTTGGACGCTTAACCGACTGAGCCACCCAGGTGCCCCCATTTTTCCATTTCTTAAAACCCTGTAAGATAGGAGGTATGGGAAGGAAAAGGTAGAATTTAGTCAAAAGATTCTCAATGGCCCCTACCGTGTCACGTAAGAGCAAGAATCAGCCAATTTTGTGGCTTCTACTTGTTTTCCATAGTTTAGGAAGGGGGAGGCTGATTCAGATATAGGAAGAAACCCACGACCTGGAAGGGGACTAAGGTTGAGGAGGAAGCAGGAAGATGACACTTACCCCAGATATTGGCACACCTTCCAAGGCCCCAGCTTTCTAATAAAATTTTAAAAAAGGATCATGAATAATCACAAACTATCGTCTCTACTAACATAACTGCAACAGGAATGAACACGAATAGCAACATGCCAGAGCATGTGGGCAGACAACACAAAGCAAGTGGTTCGACTACATATGTGGCTCAGAGACAGACACCAGATGTATTTCTAGCATGACAAGAAGAGACATGGCATTGGAGAATGGATGCCACACGCTGGACTCGGACTCCGGAGACGCGGGTTCTACTCTTGGTTAGTCAGTGTTAAGCCACTGAGCGGGCCGCTGGGACTTCTCTTTGCCTCAATTTCTTGATCTACAAAATGGAATCTAGGTAACAAGAAAGTCTAGGTCCAACAGCTCTTTGCTATTATTGCCGTTAATAAGGAAAAGGAAAGCGTCCTTTAAAATGAACATATAAATCGCTATGAAAGCAGTATGGAACGTTCTCATTTTGGAAGGGCTGGATTGTACCAACCGTCCTTCCTACGCCAACTACTCCAGGTAAGTGAGAAACACGAGCGCATTTGGGGACTAATATTTGTTCATATAGCCGGCATCATTCTTCAAGTTTAGATAGGCAAGAGTTAGATGTAGGTCACGAAGAGCGGTTTTCATTTTGATCAAATATGGCCAGCACTCTAGAACAAGAATGCGATTTAAATGGCTGTGTATTTTACAGAACGTATTCAAAAAAATATTCAAATACAAAGCAATCTGTGCTGGTTAAGGAACCAGGGGAAAGGAACGTGATCCTTGGAGAAGTGTGACACGCTAGGAAGGGTGCCAAACAAAAGCTTTGGACGGACTGAGCCCTTAGCCTGCCATCTGTGAGCCAGTCCCCCAGCCACTGGGAGCTTACGCTTTCCTACCTGTTTGAATGAGGGTAAGAACAGAAGCCACCGCACACGGCTGCAGTGGTAAGGAAATAAGAGCATCTATTTTTATGCTTTACAAAATAGAAAACATCTTCTAGATGGTGGATATCATTTTACTTCTTTCACACTTTCTGCTTAACTCAAGACCTGCTCTTTTTACATGCTGTATACATTCTTAGAAAATCTGGACCTGGACAACAGGGCGAATTTCATGAAGAACAGAGTCAATCTGTAGGAAACCTAGAGGCTGTATATCTTAATATACTAAGATACTAAAAGATGCCTTTGCTTATACTACCGGAAGCTATTATCAAAAACCACCAGCAGGATCTACTAATGTGCATTCAGGCACATAAAGCGTTTTTTTTCCTTCATAGGGAGGGCTCTCTGGGGGATTCCCAGGAATGGCCTCTGGTGAAGCATGCAGAAAAAGTGACAGTGCATTTCCAACTAACTAGTCTGAAAGGCTGGATGAGTTTCATTTAAGACAGGCGGTTAGGACATTTAAACCACATCTCATTTTCCCGTCGTGCTAAAGCCCAAAGCACATCACACCTGTACTTTGTCACAGGGAACATCGGAATTTCTCACTCGGGAAAATGACCTTAGTCGTTTATTTTGAAACACCACTTTCAGTCTTAGGGGAAACTTAAGAACAAACAGATACGAGTGAGTTTAAAGGAAACCTGAAGCTTGCCTAGAGCTTAAGAGTAATTTGGAGGGTCAAGGAGATTCTAGAAGAATCGGTTTAGTAAACGACTTCGGTTTGTCTAAAACTAAATGGAAATGCACTGTATCTTTTCCAAATGAATGGGTAGCATAATTGGTGGGCGACCTACTCACCAGGCTATGAGAGATTTTCTATAGTCAGCAAGGGGGAAAAAGGGGGACAGAAGCATAATATTTTAAATGCAAGAGAAAAAACTAGGCCAGTAAATGCTTTTTTTCAACCGTTCTCTAAAACTGTTTCTCAGGAATAAGTTCTCTTCCCTGATCTAAGTCAGTATGTAGACAGCTATGAAATCATCGAAGCACTTTCAGTATAGATGAGCGATGCTTCCCTTAAAAAACTCCACGGTACCTTAGAAGGCTTTATTATAAATGAAATATTTAAGAAGTCTGCTCAAGCTTTATCCAGAGCATTTAGTATGTAACCCAATGTTTATTAACTCTATAAGGAGAGTTTCTAATATTTGTCATGAAATGTCTAAACAATATTTTTTGCAATTTATTTTAGACCTATTTTTGACTTTTATCATCAATTCTAGATTTTTGTGCTCAAATACCAGTTCAAATCCTCCTGGAGGTTTTTCATCCCTGATGTGTCATTAGAGATACTCAGTGATAATAAGCACACTTTTTGTGAAAACGACTTTTTCTCTCGGTTTCAGTGAAATTGACAGCAAAATGTGTATTATGGAAACCTGCTTAATTAGCAATCACAAGTCAGAAAGAGACCCTTTGCTTTCAGTTTCTTTGCTACAGTTTTTTTTTTTTAAAGGGGGCTGACAAAGAATCTTAATATAAAAAACATGGTTTGGCTATTAAAAGAAATTCAACAGGAAAAAGAACACTAAATTATAAGCCAGCACCACAACTACTGAACAGTTTTTTTCAATTGAAAGAATAAACCGGCTCAAACCATGTCACCGTCTGTAGTTAGAGTGCTGCAGTAATACTTTAAAGTAGAATACTTTAAAAGTAGTAGAAAAGAAGAGCCAATTAAAGTTTATAAAATGTAAAATCAACTGGTAAGAAGGCTTCTAAAAAATTTTAAGTTATTAAACTATTTAAACAGTGCTAAATTCTCATTTTATACGCTACCAACACTTACAGAAAAGTCACAACTCTCAAACTAGGAAACGTAACACAACTGCCTTTTGAATTCTGAATAGTAAAGCTTTTTAAAAAATGAAATTTAAAAAACTTTTTTTTTTTTTTTTTACCATTAAGCCATAGATCTCAGAAGAACTCCGAACATTTGGAAGAACTTTCATTGGAATTTCAAAAAATCTGAAAAACAATTAAACACTGGGTATTTAACGCTATTTTAAATAACTATCTGGAAGCATTTATATGTATTTAGAAGCAAAAATGTAAATAACTATCAGATAATGGCTGTTATGGAGTACAGAGTTAAATAATAAGCCAGCAGGACGTATGGCTATTTAACATTTGAACCTGATACAAACAAATTGATAAAAAGTAAGAAGCACACAACACACGAAGTACTTTTCTAAAGAAACCTAATCTTCCTAATCAAGACACTTAATTTGGCCTGTCTGTTACAGATGCAACAACAGGCTCATGTTTGAATACACAGTAGAGACTTGCGCACTGAGTGTTGAAGCACCAACAATCAAAGTTTGGTGTTCCACCGACATCGGAAAAGAGTAAGATTTAGGTTATAAATAGGTAATGTATCTAGCAAGGGCTTCTTAGGGCAAAACCCAACTTACTCGCAGAGCTCTTTATCCCACTCCAGAGAATGAATGTTGAAAAGCATTGTCCTACTTGCATTGGTTACATCCGTACAATGGACACCTCCGTTGGCCCCTCCGGTCAAACTCTAGACAGAATAAAAGGGACATGTTAAATCTGCACTAATTTGCAATTTAAATTACAAGTCATCAAGGGCTGTACTCAGGAGCAGAGTGCAGAAGGCAGGAGAGAATGGAATGTTCCAACTGTTGAATGCTCAGGTTTCCGGCAGTGTCTTACAAAAATACAATGGGAACTACATACGTAATTTTACGTTTTCGAGTAGCTACATTTAAAAAGTATAGAGAAGCAAGTGAAATTAATTTTAATGATACCATATATTTTATTTAACCCAAACATCTCCAAAATATCCTTTTAACATAAAAAATTCTTTCAGAGACATTTTACCTATCGACTGGATTTTATTTTTAAGTAATCTCTGTGCCCAAGGTGGGGCTCACACAACCCCCAGATCTCAAAAGTCTCACACTCTAGTGACTGAGCCAGCCAGGTGCCCCAGTATTTTACCTTTTTAAATACAATATATATGTTACACAGCACTTGTTGATTCAGATTAGCCACATCTGAAGTTCTCAGTGGCCAAGCATGGCTAAGTGGCCACCATAATAGCACAGTGCTAGTCAATTGGGAGTTAGACAAAAAACCAGTTTTGTTTTCATCTATTATCTTCGGAAAATGTTGTCTTATCAGATTTGGTCAAATGTAATATATTGACATGTCTGCCTCTTCAGGATCTTATAGAACTCTGTGTTATTTTTTGAGAATAACAATGCTAGTTGGGCTGTGCCGACCCAAGTATGTATCCCAAAAGCAGAGGTTTAAAGTCTCTGGCGTCAGTACCCTCAGAGCTGAGCTGAAAGGAGTGCCGCTTTCTTTGGGTGTGAGCGATAAGCGGGGAGGCAGGACCAGAAGTGGAGAAAAGGCCACTTGGCATCCTGTGAGCGGGTGCCCCTCGACCCCGCAGCAAAATGTGCCCCCTCGTCTCCCGCAGCTCTCAGTTGCCCCAGCCTGCCTTACTCTGGTTTCAGGCAACTGATCGTCAGAACTATGTCAAATGCGCCGGGGGTGAAAACCGGTGGGCCCTGGCCAAGCAGGGGGAGGGGCAGAGAAGGCGCTGTTTCCTGGGACTGGTTCTGGAACATCTGCTCGGTGGGTGTGGCCAATGAGAATAGGGACAATATTCTTGTGAAGCTCTCGTGACTGGTGAAAAAGATTTTGACACTGAAGTCGGTACAAATGAAAGCGTATGTGTGGGACTTGCTTTAAAATGATCTGTGGGGAGAAAGAGTATGTGAGTGTAGCTGAAACAAGACGGCCCAGAGTTCATCACACTACTCCCTCTACTTTGGGGTACATTTGGAAATGCCCACAAAAAAAATAACAGAGAACCAAAGAGAGAAAGGGCGAGAGGACATGTACTTGTAAGATAAATCTGGGAAATGTCTAAAATGTTAGTTTCTACTCATCTGTGTTCAGCTTAGGCAGTGAAATTTCCACTATGATCTGTTATAGTATGGCTTAAATAAGGGACAGCTGTGTAATGCTGAAAGCAAACGCTAAAAGTCACACAGATGTTTATCATGTTAACTAGGTGCTTCTTTGAAGAATAACCAGTGGAGGGGCGCCTGGGAGGCTCAGCAGGTCGAGCGTCTGACTCTTGATTTCAGCTCAGGTCATGATCTCACAGTTGTGGGATCGAGCCCTGTGTCGGGCTCCGTGCCGAGCACGGGGCCTGCTGGAGATTCTCCCCCCCTCTCTCTTCCTCTGTCCCTCCCTCCACTCATGTGAGTGCACATGCTTGCTCTCTCTCTCTCTCTCTCTCTCTCTCTCCAAAATGAAAAAAAAAAAAAAGAAATGACCAGTGGAAAAGAATATATGACAGGCAAGAGAAAAAGACTACCTAAATTAGTAATTACTAAGTACCTAAATTAGTTATTCTAAAGATAATAGACATGAGACAGGTCTTTGGTGATCATCCTCCATTTTTACTGAAATAAAGCAAGAAAAAATGAGGAGGATGTAAGGAAAAATGCCTCTTAAATGGAGGCTGAAATGTCAATTTTGCCAACTAAAATGTCTGAACTCTTAACAGAACACACACGGTCTAAAGAATTTCTGAAAAGCTTTCTCCATGCATGCATCATATTTAAACATACCCAAATAAGCCATGAATCAATGGTCCCAAAAAGAGCTCTATCTTCTTCAACAGCCTTTTGAACTTTTCTCACATTGTCAAGGAGCCAACGAAGTTTCACGGCACTGAAGTAAGTGCTAAGTGGAAGGCCTGTCTTGGACTAAAAACAGGTATGAAGTTCAGCCAGCAAATTAAATGCCTAACAGTTTAAAATAAGACACCAAACCCAAAAAACTCAGCAATCACAAAATATTCAATGGCGCTAAAGCCAAGCCCATGGTATTACGGATAGAAATAGTTTTCCTATCTTGTGGCACGAGAAAGCATGCTCACGAACAAAGATCAGGGTGATGTGTTTGCAGTTCAAAGAGCATCCACGTTGCAAGGTAAAGAGAAAATTAAATGACACAATACCCTATAATCTAGATAGTGAACATGTAGATGTTAGCTTCTGTGATGAGTACTACATGCAGAACCTAGTCCAAAACTCTGCTTTCGCTTTGCTATTTTAAACTATTAAAAATCAGAGACTACATCAAATCATAAACTAATGACCGTACCAGAAAATTGTTTTAAAACATAGAAGACTTGACAACAATATACTTATGTGTGCAAAAAATATATATTATAAACAAATATATATATTTACACACACATATACATATTCAAATAACATAACATGAAGTAAGTAGAGAACAAAGTAGAGCTCAAGGACATGCTGGATGAGAGCAACAGTGAGCTGTTCTATAGAAGAAAGTAGTTGCCTTAACCCAGCGAATACACTGAACAGAGAGACGGTGGACTGAATAAAGGATAAAGGCTAAATACAATGGACATACTGGCTTATCAGTATTCCTTTACAATGGATCAGTCCAACTCCTATTTTTGTTAGTATATTAAATACCAGATTTATTTATCAGGGCTAGTGAAAGTGGTAAAGAAGATACATACATCAAAATAATGCAACTATCGGGCCCCTAATTATCCCCTAATCCTTGGTCTCCCCGTTTATCACCTAACTACAGAAAATTCAAACCAATCCATTTAATACTTTAATGCACGCAGTAAGTTAAGACTCTTAACTCATGGTTTTCCAGCTTTCCTAGAAAAAAAAAATCAATGCTCAAAAATAATGAAAGGAAATAATTTGGGGGGTTATTTCTCTTTGAAGGACCAAGGATCATCCCACAAAGCCAACAGAGAGGTAGTCCATAATATTTCATTGTTGTGACTTGGGTAGGAAGTATAAAAGTTGCCTAAAATGGCAGTGAAGAGGAAAACATGCATCCCTTGAAGGAAAGTAACTGGAAGTGGGGGTGAGGGATGGGCAGGGTGACAAAGAGGAACAGCATAGGAAATGAGTAAGGGCATATTCGGGACTATGTTATTTGGGTGGGTGAGGGGAGGAAATGGTGTTTGTTCAACTGCCACAATTAATGGGATCTGAATGCTAGTTTCAGAACCAAGAACCACTGCCCTAAGAGTCCCACTGACAAATAAATATAAAAGGGATAAACCAAAAAAAAAAAAAAAAAAAAAACCCAAAAAACAAAAAAAACAACCCAGAACTACCTTTGCAGGCTAGAGGTTGGCCTTGACTTTGCTAAGAAAAATACCTGTCTGGTTTCAAAAAATTCTCTCTCCCTTCATTTATCTGAAGAGAGCTCTATATATGGACTGAAGTTTAGGCAACTGTTATAAGCTTCCTTCATATGAAGAAAGTGGAAGAGGAGTTCAGTAAGGAGTTGGAGTGACTTTTACTTTGTCTCTCTGAATCCAGATGCCTAAAAACTCCAAAGCATCCGGAACTTTCTTTGACAGACAGTAGAAACCAAGAAGGACAGATTTGGAAAGCATGGTTGAATTCTAGGAAGAAGAACACCCTGGGAAGTGTGGTCTAAGTCACTGGGACACTTTATGATCCCCTTCAGCCTATCACCCTTGGAGTATGAATCCTCCAATCTACCACAGGGCAAGAAGACAGAAAGGCAAATACTTGAGTTGCCCTCAATTATCTGCGGAGAGTCTACAAAATGTATCAAATAACTACTGTGTGATAGGACGTGGGGCCCGAACAGTCGTTCAGGTGAAAACTCGAAACCCTTTTTTTTAAACAAGCATTCTTATAGTATACTTTTGAAGACATCTCTTACCTTGACAAAGTTATTATTTCCTGGAATTCTTTTACTAAGATTCTCAACGGTAGACTGGGTTCTTAGATCAAGCCACACTATAGACCAAAATATAATAATATATATGAAAACCTTCATTAAAAAAAAAATCAGATCTTAATGAAATCACTGTCAAGGATAGGAGATTGATTAGTTTCCACAAGCAATTAAAATGCTAGAGCTTTCAAAAGATAGAAATTAGAAAATTAGAAATGAATGGGCATATTGTTAAAAAAAAAGAATAAATTTATGAGGAAGAATTGAAAGGTTTTATGCAAAATTACAGACCAAGTTAGAACAATACAAACCTTAGGGCCCTTATTTTGTATCCTTTTTATAGGGAAAAAAAAGCCACAATGAAAAAATGTTTTGGCTAAGCATGTTCTAAGAATACATGAGTACAGAGAAAATCTAAATGCGCATCACGCTAGTTGCCAGGGCAGAATTCACAACTCAGGATCACCGTACTGTGTATAAAACAGGTATCGTAGAAAACGTGGGGGCGATCTGTGACAAAGCAGAGCACCTGGTACCATTTATTGGAAGAAAAAGTAAGATTCAGTCTCTCACCTATGAAATGCTTGTTTACATCAAACTCTTCCATTTCCAAAGTAGGCTACAAGCCAGAATCATTAAAAGAATTGTTTAAAGGTCACCATTCTTGCTCCATGCCAGAGTGTAAAAAAAAGTCTATTTTAAGAGATCAACATTATTTATAGTAACTATCGTCCACTTTCTGACCCTCGAGGAGAACATATTTCTGTCCTGCTTCATGCCAGAAGGCCCGAGAAAGAGAAGGTATCAAATAGTACATAAGGCAGCGATGAAGGGTAACCAAGAGGGCTGCAGAATATTCTTCATCAGATTTAAGTTTTGTACTTAAACTTCTATCACTTTTCATTGGTGAGTGGTCACTCAGTATTTTCAGGCACTGACTGAGCTCAGATGCATCCTGAAAAGGCTCAGGCCTGTAGTGTATTTAAAGGGCACCGGGGAAGGGAATCCAGGCTTGCCCACGACACATGCCAAGGATGGACACTTGCGGCATAGTTTGGTCTACCCTGGACCAGCCAATTCCTCTCTTCATTTCAAAACCAGGGGTTTTTTTTTCCCCCAGGAAAAAAAATAAAAATAAAAACCAGTTCTTTTTCTGTTGTGAATTTGAATCCATTCTTTCTAATCACTTAAATTGTCATTGCCCTCACTGAGGGCTGTCTGAGCTTGGTTTTGACCGGCGGCTACCTCAGGACTATAGGCTGGTTTCTATGGGAGTGAAAAGCAGCAAGAACAGTCTTGTCACCAACGAGAAAACGGGAGGCAGAGAGGAAGCCGGGGGGCGGGGGTGTGTGTGTGTGTCTGTGGCCTAGAGAGCACATCCGCATTTGTTGCCCACCATGCATTCCTTGGGCTCCTGAGAGCAGGATCTCGAACTCTCTTTAGCAAATCATCTCTCCCCCATCCTCAGCTGTGCAGTCGGCCCAACGGAGATGCATGCTCAGCCTGCTGGAGTCCCTTCTCCGCAACCCTACTGGGCGGTGTGTGGCCGGGCCTGCCGCCCCGGTGAAGAGCGAGCCGGATCGGTCATGTTTGGAGCCGTCCAAGAAGAGACAGGCTCACGGGGCATCCAGCTCCTACTGTCTGAGTCTGGAATCAAAAGCACCTGAACTAAAGCTACTCTTGCAGTGCTGGTTCCATGAACAAAAAAAGTCTTGTGTTTTTATAACCTTTATTTAGTTCGAGTTGAGCTCCCTAGTACTTGCATGGTGACGGATGCAGCCACGTGGAGTTGGCAAGGGCCACCAAGGCGGCCCGCCCTTCACAGAGCGGTGGGATTGCGGGCCTCTGACAAACGCCAACCTTCCTCACAGGCAAGCAACCTCAGGAGTAAGCGGGCAAAGGAGAGGAATTCAAGAGAGAGGTTTTGAGTCTGTGAATTAATAGACACATCTCAGTCCTCAGTGGTTCAAGCTCCAGTGGGCTGGGGGTTTAAAATCATTGAGTGTGTTTCACCTACTTTTCAAAAACGAAACAGGGTGGATTAGAACTGAAAATATCAGAGTTCACGGAACTCAGTAAGGTAGGTATTGTGAAACTGTTGTTTTAGTTATGGGAGTTTGATGAATCATCGTGTAAAATGCATTTCTTATCAAGGGACATGAACAAAGGACACGAAAGTCATTGTTCTAGGCTGCTGAGTGACTCAGAGCCTTCTAGAAGAGTGCTTTTCTGTATTTAATGCAAATAATCATTAGGGAACTTAAAGATGGACCCCATTCCCAGAAATTCTAGGAGAGTAGGTCCAGGAGAGGGATCCTAGCAATATGCCTTTTAAATAGGTGCCCCCCTCCTTCCTTTAAGAAACACTGCTAGACTCCACAGCAGTGGTTCTTACCCAGAAAGCACATCAGAACCACCTGGAAAAATGTGAATTCACACATTCCAAGCCCTCTGGTTGCAGATTTATGCAAGGAAGGCCCGAGTCATTGTAACTTTTGTTATAAACACCCCAAATTACTCAGTACTATACCAGAACTTGAGAGCCTCCTTTCTAGGGCCGTGTCTTTAAGATATGGAACTTATTCCAATTATTTCTTTAAAAACTAAACAACAGAGGGGCGCCTGGGTTACTCAGTCGGTTAAGCATCTGACTTCAGCTCAGGTCATGATCTCACGATTTGTGAGCTCAAGCCAGGCGTCTGCTTTGGATTCTGTGTCTCATTCGCTCTCTGCTCCTCCCCTACTTGTGCTGTGTCTGTCTCTTAAAAATAAATAAATGTAAAAAAAATTTTTTTAGAAAACAAACAAAAACAACAGATAAATTGATGACCAGGTGGCTCCCCTGAGTCCCAGTTGGCTCTGTGACTCTATTGTTCCTTGACGATGACCACTTAAGTAGCTGGGCACTTACTCCTCGCTTGAGAGCTTCCGAGTATCCAGAGTGGAATCCACGGAATCAACCTCTCACCAAAAAGAGTCAAAACACTGGATGTGAAATCAGGAGACCAGAGTTGTTTGTCTCTGACTTTGCCACCCATTTGAGCTACGTGACTCAAGCAAGCCAGGTTACCCTTTGTGGCCTGGATTTCCTGAATATAAAACAAGGCAGTCGGAGTCGATGGTCTCTGCAGTTCCTCTCCTGCCATCATTCCATGATCACAGAAAGCTGGAAGATCCACGTTGTTTTTATAGCCCAAGAGTTTAAGGTAATTAGAATACATGGAATGAATTAGTACAAGTGCCAAAGAGAAAAATGTCAGTGGTTGATATGCTATCAAACAATTCACAAATGCTCAAATTAATTGAATTAAGAGGAAAAAAATTAGAAAACTCATTAAAGAAGCTAAGATGGTAGAATTAGGTTGGCAGAATAAGAGACCAAAAGCCAGAGAGAAATCCCCAAGCTGGAGGACTAAGCTCCCTGTGGAGGTAATTTCTGAGAGCAATCAAAAGAAGTGCCAGATCCAGATCCAGCAGCGGTGGTCAATTTCTTCCCCCATCATGTCTGGGTCGGAAGGCCGGGAAGGGAGCGGGAGCCAGAGCAGCAGTACCTGAGGAAGTGCCAGCAGCTGGAACTGAAGAGCCAGAGGGGACTACGGCAACCGGATCTGAAGGGCCAGGGCAAACCGGAGCGGCTGGAGCATTAGGAGAAATAATGGCAGTTCATGCTAGAGGTGGTCAGATTCAAGGTCTGTGTTCTCTTGCTGACCACTTAGGAAATGGTAGATCACTTGCGCAAGTTCATCAGAATGAATATTTTCTAGGCATTTGAGCACAGGAAAGGAAAAGGAAGAGACGTGGCGGAGAAGGGAAACCAAGGCAGTCCGGTCAGAGTCTCTGGGTCAGCGGACCTCATCCATGCGGACGAAGACCAGGTAAATATGTGCTTTTTGTTCAGGATGACTCTTCCCTACCTGGCCATGTGTCTGCGTCCTAGGCCCAGCCGGTTACTGACTGTTCCCCCAACCAGTAAATTGAAAGGCTGTGCCATGTAGCGGGTGAGCATTCCTCACAAACGAAGGCTAAGCAGTGAGCCACAATCACCGCTGGGGCGATCTATAGAAGGCCTGAAAAGGCTGCTTTGGGAAGTCACGGCCCCAAGAAAGCACTTCCCCGGGAGGCTGGCAGGGGGGAGCCCACCGCCACAAACAGGAGAGGCGTGTCTGGAGGGCACAGGGGATGGCTAAGTTCCAAAGTGATGCGGGGGGGTAAAAAATGAGAAGGAAGATAGACGCTAGGGAGTCCCAAACACTACAGAGCCAGCTTCTGTAAGGCATGCCCCTTATTTAGACCAAGTGAATCTGATTCAAATGGTTCAAATCATCAAATAAGCAAAAAAAAAAAAACAAAAAAAAACCCAGTTTGGGCGATGTGATAAACTTTCATTTGTATTAAATAAAGTCACATCCAATATCTAAGAGTTAGATTTATTTTTTTAAATTTTTATTTATTTCTAGGAGAGAGAGAGATAGACAGCGTGAACAAGGGTGGGTCAGAGAGAGAGGGAGACACAGACTCTGAAACAGGCTCCAGGCTCTGAGCTGGCAGTCAGCACAGAGCCCGACACGGGGCTCGAACCCACGAACCGCGAGATCATGACCCAAGCGAAAGTCGGACGCTTAACCGACTAAGCCACCCAGGCGCCCCTCTAAGTGTTAGATTTAGTCAGGTCTGAACGACAAAGTTTGCAGAGTGAAGAGAAATGCGGTTGCCTCACTGTCCATGGATCAGGGAACTTAGGTGATGCAGTAACAGCACAGAGGAAAAGACGACGTTTAGAATGTTTAGAAGTGTGCAGCAGTTTGGCTTTGTCATAATAGAAGGGAAAAGTACCTAAGAAAAAAAGTCAAAATTAACTAGAAACAATCTTAATTATTTTCAATTGACTAGAGCAAAGGCAAACAGTACGGCTCTGAGGGGCTGAGGGGCTGCGAGGCGCTGCAGGCCTCCCGGGGAGGGGGAGGGAGATGAGGGCGGGCTCCGGGTTATGGAGCGCACCCCGAGCAAGGACTTGTGGCAGTTCCACCAAGTGTTAGTGGGCTACCTCCCCCACAAGAGATAA